TAAATCTCAACCATCTCTTCACTTTATTCACAAAAAATCATTTATCATTTAACGTTCACATCTCCCAAAATGATAGTCGAATACTTTGAAAATTTCAATGGAAGAATATTATCTGCAGACTAAACTAAAAGATTATTCGAACCCAAAAAATAAAAAAATCTAGTTAGATTTAATCCCAACTGTTTGAAGTGGATGTTTGATTATATGATTTTTGGCTTTACGCGCATCCAGTATTTTAATATATTTTACCCGGAATATGTTATTTAATATATTATGTTATAAATTAGTATAGTGTAAAATCCCTTGCAAGAAAAAAAAAAAAAAAGATAATGTGGAGTTGATAAATAGCTATTCGGATATATTTTTGCTGTGGATGGTTTGTTAAGAAGTATTTTATGGTTTTATTTATTTATTTTTCTCTTTGCTTGATTATTTCTTTCTGTTATGATTTTCTTTGAAAATCATAAGGAGGTTAGAGAAATTTTGAAGAATGATCTCTCTCAACAAAATAATTTTTTTTGAAGAAACAAATTGTATTTAATACATTTTGTATTTAATATATTCTTGAATAGCTCTAGAAATCAAAGAATGAACCGCTTCGAATTGTAGTAATTTTTAATTGAGCTAAAAACTAAATAACTAAATCAATGACATTGGTGAGATCCATGTAAGTTTGGTCCTCTTTTCTGATAATCTCGACTTTAGATGGATTTGTCACAGTAAGACTTTCTTCCAAATTAGATTAAATGGATTTATGCACTTTAATCTTTACGGTAACAAAGCTAAAACAAAGCAAAACACTAAATGTTATCCCCTTATATATAGATATATATATATATAACTTCATAGAATGGAATGAACGTCGACCTTTTTTATATAAAACTTCATAGACTAGAATGAACAGCCTTTTTTGATTAAAACTCCACAAAATGGAATGAAAAAAATGGAGAAAAAACATTTGCCTCAAGCATCAATCCAATGGAAACATACATAAGCAGATTATGTTCTCTAGAATGCTCCATATATAAGCTCGGGTGTTTGGCCCATTGGTCCAAGGATCATTCTTTGCGTCTCCTTCCCTCGCGTACCTTCTTATCATTTTCCTCACCCTCTGTCATCATTTTTTTTTTTTTTCAGTGGTTCATACTCTCTTTCATGCACTGTCACTCGCCTTTCTTCCACCGAAAAATTGTTTGCACCCAGAGTCGGACTAAATGCCTCGGTTGGCTATGTGTAAGTGAGAGCTTCGTCATGAAAGTGGCTTTGTTCTCCCGAATAGCATGACAGTGGTGCAGTAATGTTTTTTGAAGGCACACTGATGTACTGCTCTCAATACATGGCAAGAAGAAAGAACACACAAACATACACCTAAAACCAAAAGAGAAAATAGGAAACGGGGAAAAAAGACGGCGCCACAGCACAAAAGTGCCCAACAACTCCATATTTATTGGATGACCAACTCAAAAAAGACCCCACTCTCCCAAAATATGGGGAAACAAAAAGACGGATAATAAATGAAGATAAAATTACAAATGCAGATATATGCACCAAGACTGAAACGATATGGACAAAGAACCAGGAAAAAGATGCTGACTTCAACAACCAACAAACCAATGAAATGCAAAAGAAACTGCCAAATAACACTGCCACATGGACCAATCATGAAACCTCTACAAGGTTTATAGGTTTTATAGATTTCTCATTAAATCTATATTTTATTTATGAACCTGTAAAAAGAACAGAGTTATTCGTAATAAAAAAATGAAGATACTTGATCTTATTTTCAATAAATTTTACCCGGAAAATACACAACTGAACTTAATGAATGTAAAAATATCTGCTTAAACAACCAAAATGATGATAATTGTTACTTAACTTTTCTTATTTGAAAACCGTTTTGTGAATATATTAAAATTAGATTTAGGTTTGGGATAATCCCAATTAAATCCATCTAAAATAATGAAATTTCAAGTAAGGTTTATACTTTTAACAAATTCCTAATTAGGCCAAGAGGCCTAATTAGGGATTTTTAAATTTGCTAAAAGACTAGAATGCCTCTTTGTAATCAAAGAAGAAAATTTAATGTAAGTGTAAGCCTGATTTTTGTTTTAATTATTCTAGTAGATTTAATTAAAATTTTTTTAATAAAAAACAATTAAAATCAAGATAAAAAATACATGATAATGAATTAAAATAATTCATACAATTCTTCCATATCTATCAATATTAAATTTATGATTTTCAAATCACGTAAAGATTAATCAATTCATTACACCAGACGTTTGAAGGAAACTACTCCTACTGTTACGCCACATTCTGCTCCACCATTATCTGCTTCGTCATCCAATCCTGCAGCACGCATCCCACACCCTGCGCCTGACCCTGTTCCAGGTCTAGATGCCAATCCCTCACTTGACTCTGAGACACCTCCTGTTCCAAATCCAGATCCCTCCATTGATTTGCCCATTGCCCTTTGCAAAGGTAAACGTACTTGTGCCCATCCTATTTCTTCCTTTGTTTCATATAACCACCTCCCCTCTGTTTCTCGTGCCTTTGTTGCCTCTTTAGATACTATTTCAGTATCTAAGTCCCTTCATGAAGCCTTGTCCCACCCAAGTTGGCGTACTGCTATGGAAGAAGAGATGGCAGCACTTCATTGTGCTGGCACGTGGACCTTAGTGGATTTACCAGCAGGAAAGAAAGCTATTGGGTGTAAATGGGTGTTGACACCTAAGGTTAAGGCGGATGGTACACTTGAACGCCTCAAGGCTCGCCTTGTCGCAAAAGGCTATGCTCAAAAGTATGGTACTGACTACTCTGAGACTTTCTCCCCCGTGGCCAAGCTCTCCTCTGTTCGTCTGTTCATCTCCATGGCCGCTATCTATAGTTGGGATCTCCATCAATTAGATATCAAAAATGCCTTCTTAAATGGTGATCTCCTTGAAGAAGTGTACATGGAGCAACCACCGGGTTTTGTTGCTCAGGGGGAGTATGGGAAGGTGTATCGCCTTAAGAAATCCCTCTATGGCTTAAAGCAAAGTCCCCGGGCATGGTTTGATAGATTTAGTACTGTCATGAAGAACTTTGGCCTGCACTAGAGTAAGTGTGATCATTCTGTGTTCTATCAGCAAACAAGTGCCAGCATGATGCTACTGGTTGTGTATGTCGATGACATTGTGATTACAGGAAATAATGCCTCGAGGATCTCATCACTCAAGTCATTCCTTAACACACATTTTCAAATGAAGGATCTGGGTTCATTGAAGTACTTTCTGGGAATTGAAGTCATGAGGAGCAAGAAAGGCATCTTATTGACTCAGACAAAGTATGTTCTTGATCTGCTGAAAGAAACTGGGAAACTAGGGGCTGCTCCGACCAGCTTCCCTATGGTCTATAATCCTCTGCTTGATGCTGATGGTAGCATACCATGTGAAAATCCTGATGAGGCTGCTAAGAGCAAGCCGCTTAAAAATCCAAAGAAGTATAAAAGACTAATTGGGAAGTTGAATTACCTTACAGTGACTCGTCCTGATATCACCTATCCCATGAGTGTCCTTAGCCAATTTATGGTTACGCCAACTGTCCGACAGTGGGAAGCCTTAGAGAATGTGTTATACTACTTGAAGGGATCCCCCGGTCATGGGATATTGTACAAAAATCATGGTCACACATACATTGAGTGCTTTTGTGATGCTGATCATGGTGGGTCGAAAGCCATGTAGGAGGCAATTTGGTGTCCTGGAAAAGCAAGAAACAGAATGTGGTGTCACGATCAAGTGCAGAAGCAGAATACAGAGCCATGGCACAATCTGTATGTGAGATAGTTTGGATATACCAGCTACTAAAAGAAGTTGGTCTTAAAATCTCATTACCAGCAAAACTATGGTGTGATAATAAAGCAGCCTTACACATAGCGTCGAATTCGGTCTTCCATGAATGAACGAAACATATTGAGATTGACTGTCATTTCGTCCGAGACAAGCTCAAGGAAAACTTCATCTCTACATGACATGTCAGATCCAGCGATCAATTGGGTGATCTCCTCACCAAAGCTCTTAATGGAGTTCGAGTTGAATATCTTTGTAACAAGTTGGACATGATTGACATCTGTGCTCCAACTTGAGGGGGAGTGTAGAGATATTATAGGAGATATTATAAGATATGTAAATTAGTATATAGGATACGATATGATATGATTTCCTAGTAATGAGCCATTAATACCTAGGCTCCTCTATTTTGTATATATACCCAATCAGAATATCAACAAAATACACAATTTTCATTCTCTAAATTACAAAATAATATTATTTTAAATTATAAAAAGGGTATTTTAGTCTTTTAATAACATTCAAAAATTCCTAATAAAGCCTCTTGGCCTGATTAGGAATTTGTTCAAAATATAGGCCTTAATTTGAATTTGGATATTTCAATCAGATTTAATTAAGATTCTCCCTTGAATTAATATGAATAAGTAATCATATATTATTTCATTTAAAAAAGGATAATTATAGGCTATGGTGAGAGAAAATATAGAGAATTTAGTTAGAGGCAAAACAGTATTTTTAAATTTATATTTTAGTATTTGGTCTTTCTAAACAATTATAATTTTTATAATCCTTGCTAATAAATATCATTCATATCATGTCCCTCTCTCTAATTCTCCCTCTTTTAGAATTAGATTTTCTTTAAATGTAAGAATTTTTTTCCGATAAAAAATCAATTTATAAAAACTATACCCTTTGTAATTATGATAAAAAAAATTATAATTATTAAAAGATAAAAATATTAAAAATTTCAATAATTTATAAATAAAAATATAAATATTCAATATAAAATTTCATGCAAAAACCAATGAACCAAACTTTAACATTGTAGCACATGAAAATGAGATTTTTTTGGGCAACCGGATGTACAACGCGAACGAATTTGCAGCACGATTCACAGAAAGGGCATGTCAAGGATTAAATAACACTTTTGTTATTAAGTTAATTAGTTAATAGTTTGTCATGATTTCTGTTATGTAAATTAAGCATCTCTCTTGTATATACATATCTGTTGTACAATAATGAGAAATAAGCTTTTTCATTCTCAAAATGCTCCCAGTCACAAGGTATCTAGAGCCTTCTGACTCTTTCTTTCCCTTTTCACCCTTAGCTTGGTTCAGTTTGCAAATGCTAAAAGAGAGATGGTTCCCGAACAAAAGCCAAAGACCACAATGGCAATGACGTACATGAGGAGCAGAAGGTTCCTTGCATGAAGCTTTTACTGCAACACTTTTTATAACCTATAACACACTTAATCTTTTTCCTGCAAAACACGTTCAGTTTCGAGCATACAACAAGAAATCCAAAATGTCAAAAAAGTGCAAGCAGCAACAACAACATGCAAGCCACAATACAAAATTTTTCTCACATAATTATTTATACACCGTAAAATTATTTTAAAAAAACTAATCCAAACAACTGGTAGATAAGAAATCTCTCTTTATGTGTAGCTGAAATATGAAGGACTTTAAGCATACAAATATGTAATTTTAATACATATTTTATGTTCATTTAATTAAGGGAAAACCCAGTTTCCAGTCCCTATAGTTTGGGTCAACTTTGGTCAAGGTCCCTAAAGTTTGTTTTTTAAGGAATTGGTCCGTCAAATTTAGAACTGTTAAACCGTTAGTCCTTCTGCTTATTAATGGTGCTGGTGTGCACTAACGGTGTTAATGATTATTAAGTGGTATGATTAGGTGGCAAAAAATGATGAGTTGTCCTTTTTAGGCTAGATGACTTGGCATTTTAAATCAGCCATCTATGTGGAGGTGAAAAGAAAAAAAAGAAACGCGGGTATGGACCAAAGAGAAGCGAGCAGAGAGGGAGTGACCGTCGGAGAAGAGTGGCGAGTTCAGCGAGTGAGAAGAGAGACGGGTGGAGGAGAGAGCAGAGATCATCGAAGGAGAGTGTAGAGATCGTGAGAGGCTTGGGATCGACAAAGGAGGCTTGAGATCACGAAGAGAGTATAGATCTTCGAAGAAGAAGAGGGTTTGGCGATGGCAGGGAGAGCCAGTAATCTTCACCTTCATCTCCTCCTCGTTCATTTTTTATGTTCTTTCTCTTTACTTGTCTTTCTTTTTTCGTTATTTGTTTTTCCAGATTGTGTCTTGCGTTTTTGTACTTCTCTAGTTCTGAAATTGGTTGCTGGGCATCATAGACTATGATTTTATTGTTGAGTTTAATTTCTGGCCATGATAAAGTATGACGTTGTTGGAATCAACTCTGCCTCTGGTTGTGCATAATTTATCCCCATTTTGAATTGAATTCTGAATTTTCCATCTAGTTTTACGCATTCTGCTTATGATCGTGCGTACAACAGGAGGGTCTTGTTAGTTGGCTTAAAATATGGTTCGCTCACCTAGATGTTAAAGATGAGTTTCACGTGGACACTTGAAAGAGAATTATTATTATATTGTATATCATCTGGGAGCAAAGGAATAATGTTCTACAAGGTAAAAGTATATTATCTTATAAGGGTGTTTTGTACTGGGTGAGACAAATGTACTTTCTGGGTTATGGATTTTGATGTTAGAGGAACTAGCATTGACTATCCTTGTGCGATGCATGGGATGAATTTACTTTAATATCATTAATTGTCATAAATTAAAAATGATATGGAAAAATAATAATGTTGTGATAAATTAACTAACCATTTGAACTTTACTAAAATAGTTATTTAATACTACAAACTAAGAAACAACACTTGACTCAAAATATAATTGGTATTTTTTTCAATCTCACATGCCTATGTACAGTTCCATGAACAATAAATCAAAGCAAGTGGCCACGATGAGCGTGATAGAAACAAAGGAAAAAATAAATCAAAGCGAAAAATGAGGAAAAAAAACCAGAAGTAGGGAGTTTTCGGATACAAACCTTCTAGTAATAAGCCATGCCAATCACCCCATTTTCAAGCTGGCTACTGATACAGAGAATATCAGAATACTCTATTTCCTTCATCTAAGTCAGATCGATGAGGTTTTCTAATGAGGCAGAGGGAGATGAATAGTGACAAAGAAAGCCTCGGAAGCAGAGAGGAGCATACGAGAAGAAAAACCAGACTTGAAAAAGAAGAAAGGCAGATAAAGGGAGAAGGGATGATGAAAGAGAAATTTCAAAATTTAAAACTGAAGTCTTCCCACATACGAGCTGCCACTGTTCATAGAACAGTAAAAATAGAGCAGAGCCATCCAGGATTTGAAAATGGCTCGGCTTGCTATTGATTTTGATTTATTATGATATATAGATTTGATTTATCATGATATATAGATTGAGAACTGTAGGGAGACAAGGTTGGTTCACTACAAGCAAGAATGGTTACGTCTAGTGAGGGAGGGGGACAATCTTTGCTTTTAAACTACTTGGGTTATGAAGTAGCTGCAAAGATTTCATGTGACAAATGATCACAAGAGGATGATGCAATTTGTTGTACTGAATATGGCAATGCACCGATATTATTTTAATAGTAGAATTGGGAAATGAAAATGTTATTATGTGCTAAATTAACGTCAACATTGATATGCTGTTAGTCAGGCCAAACTTAGTTTTCAATCCACTATTATCCAGCCTGGATCATAATTTTTTTTTTAAGTAAAGGCCAAATGATATTAATGATAATATAATAAGGTTCAAAATACAATATCAAAGGAAGGATAAAATCAAGAGTTTGGAAACAGAGTTGAAGAAAGCCGAATTTGCTGAGCTAATAACAACATATTTGAGCTTGAGCCTTTCTTTTTTCCCTTTCTGAATGATGATCGTCCAGCTTTCCTTTGAAAATTGGTGAGAACGAGAGGGCTTCTTTCAAAGGTTATCACAAGAAGATTTTCAAGTTGTCTTGCAATTGTTGATTACTACCTCCTGTCCTTAATATAAGACCTTATTTGACTTTTATTTTAGTCTTAAATATAAAACCCCAATCCACTTTGTCTCTAATATTTATACATTTTTTTCCAAAGTAGCCCTTCTAACAATAATAGTTCTAGTCAATATACTTGATTAGTAAGAATATTTTAAGAAAGACAACGCCTATTTAAGATAAATAACTAACTCAACTTACTTTCTTAATCTCCTCAAATTAGTTAACTGGTTCTTATAATTAGGACCGAAGGTAGTACTTTTTAAGGGTCCCATTAAATCCCGCTCAGTGCTGTAATTTCTCGAACCAGGCACGTTCAACATGTCGATTCCATCTCCTCTCAATATTCTCCACGACCTTTGAATACAAAATAAAAAAAATGACCGAGCATATAAAAGAAAGGATTTAGAAAGCATTAAAACTTATAGACCTCCATGAAATGCGTAAAAAATAAACAAAGCATATAAACATCAGTAAATGATTTTAGAATAGACCTAGCAGGAAAAAATAATTAAATGGTGTTGACATCGAAAACACCAAACTGATTAAATTGGAGTTATGCAGAATGGGCACCTCTAAAATCACCAGATCAAATCGCAATGAGAAGCATAAGAAAATACATCTTGAATGGTGGCAACCAAAACAAGAAGCAGCAAATTAGGGACTAGAAAGTCTTTTCTTGGTAATAAGAGAGGGCTAAAGCCCCAAAAATAAAAGGCTAGCCAATTTGGGGATTAGATCCAAGATATAATCCTTGCCACACATCACCCGCAAAGTGGCTATTTGGGGATTAAGACAAGTCAAGCTGCAAGAATTGGTTCGAGTTTTGATCTGCAACAAGTCAACAAGGTTGTTACAATCAGATTCGAAAATGACCTTTTTGAAACCAAAGTCCCAGGCCAAAGTTAGCCCTTTCAAGATGGCTATTTCCTCTGCCTCAAAGGCATTACAGAGACCAATGATATACGAAAAACCAATTATCCATCCACCCATGCAAAGTTCACTTCATTACTCCGTACATATGATCTCCATGTGTGTCTAATAACCAACGCTGGATTAGATGGTTTAGATAATGTCAATTGAAAACAGAATTATTCCTCCATATCCATAAATGCCAGACCGATACCCGCAAAATAAGATCCCATGCACCAGCAAAAATAGATCCTAAATCTCTAGACCAGTTTAAAGCAAACCAGTCACGAAGAGAGGTAGAGAAGAGAGAGAAAGAGTTAGAAATAAGGAAAGAAAAGCTTGGCAAACTCATCGTATAAAAAAGCTTGGCAAACTCATCGCATAAGACTTCACTAATTTGGTACAGAGTTTCAAAATTGCTCGTAGAGAGAGTTCAAGACAGAGAGGGTTTCAAAATCAATACCAAAAGCCTTTTTGGCGATTAAAAGGCAATGCCTTCAATTTCCTTCAATTTTTGCAATGAAACGGGGAGAATTGAAAATCACAGGAAAAGGAGAGATAACTGAATGATTCAAAGTCGAAGGTTACCAGATCTCTCTACCATCGCCAAACCTTGCTCTCGTTCGAACATCTATACTCCCTTAGCGATCTCAAGCCTCCTTTGTTGACCCCAAGTCCTTCGCGATCTCTACCCTCTCCTTCGATGATCTCTGCTTTCTCCTCCGTCGATTTCCTGAACTCTGAACTCGCCCGTCTTCTTCACGGATATCCCTCCCTCTGCTCGCAAGCCCGCGTCTGCCCATACTTGCGGTTGTTCTTTTTTTGGTCCCAAAAAAAAAAAAAGAAAACGAGAGTTGTCTGATTCCAAATCATTTAGCCCAAAAAGAAACAACTCTTTTTTTTTGCCACCTAATCATGCCCCATGATCATCGTTAACACCATTAGTGCACATCAGCACCATTAATAAACAAGAAGACTAACGGTTTAACAGTTCTAAATTTGAGTTGCCAATTCCTTAAAAAACAAACTTCAGGGATCTTGACGAAAATTGACCAAAACTATGGAGACTGGAAATTGGGTTTGCCCTTTAATTAATTTACACTTTAATATTGATGAAGACCATTAACAATTATGTTTTCCTCCTTCGTTGAATTTTCAAAATAATTAAAGAAAAAAGTAAATTATTATACTTGCAGCACTTGTTTTCAAATCCGTGTTTGAATATTTGCTAAACTCGATTGGAAATGTCTTTAGGTAAGACAAGACCATAATAGTAGTCGTTGCAGAATTGTGAATGTTTGCTTGAATAAATTGTAAGAGGCAAATAATTATTTTAGTCTGTGACCCTGACTTGCAAAGAAATTATGACCCCATCCATCACGTTATTCATAATGCAGATTCCAAAACTTAAAATATACACCTACTGGAACAAGTCTAAATAAATTACACATCATCCATTTCCTTGGTACACACTCCCTCCAGTTCTTTATATATGTGCGACTTCAAGAAGATATTGATAGTCCCCCACACACGCACACACATCCTTCATCCTTATTCTTTTAAGAAAAAGAACACACGAATTGATCTTTTTCAGTAACTAGGGCCCAGAAATTTTGTTGAATGGTGAGTTACTAATATTTATTCAAATGGCTACAAATCTAAAAATCTTAATTCTAATTGTAAATAACTGAGAATAACCTGAGACCTAAATAAGTACTTATTTACAACTTACATTCTTGTATTTGTGACTCTCTTTTTTTTTTAAGCAAAAGTTTTCGAGATATATTAGTTTGGGTACATTAGTTTCCTTTCTTCAATATATATATATATATATATATATATATATATATATATATATATAGAGGAACATAGATCCCCTGCTGTGAGTTTAGTGAGGTTTGCGTGCGATGGTTAAGTGGAGTTAGAGTAGATTTATCTCTTTTTTTCCCACTGATGTGGGGCACTTGAGCACTGCACACAAACCTCACCTCAGGACGTCCAAATCCTAATAGGAATTTAAACATTAACATGTTCGTCTCACGTTTAACAATTTCATGCCCATTTTTACTGACAAGACTTCAATGTTGACAAAGCCCATTAACAATGATGTTTTTAATTCTTCTTTGATTTTTCAAAATGTAAAAAAAGAAAAGAGATCTGTTATCTGTTATAATTATTACATTCATTTATATATCACGCAGATTAAATGCCTATAAAGTTGGTGGGCACTTAAAAGCTTTTTGCTTTTTTGTATAAATTGACTCCAGAAGTTTAAAATAAGATCATAGCAATTTTGTTCCTCTCTCATTAAAAATGTTAACGTTCAATATTATTATTTTAATTATTAATGTTAGTTTTTTTTTTTTTAACATTGATGAGGACCATTAATTAATGTATACTTTAATATTGACGAACACCATCAACAATGATCCTTTCCTCTTCCTTTGATTTTTCAAACCAATTAGGAAAAAGGTAAGAAAAAAGTAAATTATAATACTTTTGACATTTGTTTTCAAAATCGTATTTGAATTTTTGCTGAACACGTTTGCAAGAGTCTTTAAGTAAGACCAAGACCACAATAGCATTAGTGGTAGTTGCAGAATTTTGAATTTTGAATTTTTACTTGAATTGCAAGAGGCAAGTAACTTCAATGAATTATTGGCGACTAAATAAATTACTAACCCATATATCACGTTATATTGATAATTCAAATTCCAGAACTTGAAATATTAATTATTAAAAATTACTGGAAGAAGCCTAAATAAATTACAAGCCATCCATTTCTTTCTTGTACATACTTTATCCTCTCTTTTGTATATAGGTTTAAAATGCAAATTTGCCACGGAAGTTTTTATTCAGAAGCTGGGCGTCCGAAAGTTTTATTTGGAGCAAATTTGTCCCAAAAATTTAAAATTATAGTAGTATTGCCTCTTGCTGTTAAAAATGTTAACTGTCAATATTACTATTTTAACGGTTAGTACTAATTTTTTTAATAACAAAGGGCAATATTGCTATGATTTAAAACTTTCAGGGCAAATTTATTCTCAAAAATTTTTTTGAATACCCAAAACTCTTAAGTGAAGACTTTCAGGACAAATTTGTGTATCTCCAAAAGAAATTGATGCTCCTATTCTTTATATATAACATAATATTTTTGAATCATAACTATTTCTATAACTATTTCTATAGAGTGCTCTCCATTTAATAGTAATATTAAGAAAATCAATTAAATAATTATAGATTAAAATTTGAAAAATGACACAAATCTATGGACGGATTGAAATATTTTTTATAATAAAAAATTTATCACCTTTTGAGCAAACTAAAACTCTGATAGATAATATTATCTTCAATCTTTAATATAAGACTTAATTGACTAATTTTAAAAAATTACTTTAGTTATACCACACATTACATTATCTCTCTAAAATACTTATGTATATAATTAGAATACATATCAATTTATAAGTTAGGCAAATTAGTTTGGAAAAAATTGATATATGTAAATACTTTAAAGTAATTTATTAATCTACTCAAATTAATTAACTAAATGTTATATAAAAGACTCAAGGTAGTATCTAAAAGTCATTTCTGAGACTTATGATATGAATAATTTAAATACGACGATGATGATGATGATAAAGGCACTATCACTTAATAACCAGAGTAATTAACAATAAAGAGCGCATAGCAATACTTGCAGAGCTATGGTAGTTAAGCTCTTGTCATTTTGATATTCCTCTCTCTCTATATATATGTATATATGAAGACTTTATGGTTGCATTCATTTTGTGATCATTTTTGTAAGCCAATGAATGGCATTTTGATTAAGCTTTGCTATAACTTGCTTCCACATTAATGGTGCTGCCGCCACTGTGATGATAGAAGAGGAGAAACAAGTTCTGTTTCAGACCAAATGGTAGAATTTTAGCGATAGTGCCCACAACTTCTCAAACCCTTGTCACTGGAAAGTGATATATTGCAATAATTTTGGAAGCATTGATGAGATGAATCAACCAAGGATTACTCCAAAGCGCCCTTGGCTAGATCTCAACCTCACTGCATTTCCCAACCTACAATATTTAATATTTAATAGCATTTAATAAGTGCTATTCCAACTCAGATAGAAACTCTTTGTAGTCTCATATATCTTGACTTGTCTAATAACAATCTTACTGGTGAGTTATGTACCTTCCACTTTCACTCTTATCAGCTTGCAAATTATTGTATTTACCTCCACACAATATAATACATCTATTGATATGTACCATTCCAATACTAATAGGAACTCTTCAAAATCTGACCAGGCTTTATTTATCTCAAAACAATCTTACGGGTAAGTTACTTAACATTTACTCTTACCAAACTCACTCAACTCATGTACTGGTATAAGTTGCCATTTATACTCTTAACGGTACTAATCTTAATTTGGAATATTTGAAACTCAAGGGAAGGGGTTTGATAGGTAAGGTACCATTCCAGGTTCCCCCTGTGACTTTTTATGTGCTGATCAGTTGGACGAAGAGTATTGTGTCTGTGAACTCTGGTTATCTGATTTTATAAAATATTAATATTCTATCACTTTCCTCTTCTAGAATTTCAAAAAAAAAAAAAAATTGGAGGAGGCAAGGAAATGAAAGAGACTGAAAACCAAGCTAATTTGGCAGCTAAGTTATTGGGTTTTGGATGTCCCAAATGCCTACTTTTCAGTACTTATTTGCAAGGATCATCACGTTTAACATAATTCTTACCACCGTAATGATATTATGTATTGTAGTTTCAACGATTTAAATTTAAAATTTTTAACCAATGATATTTAACTAAGTAAAACATTATTTTTAAAAAAAAGTGATGATTATGTAAAACTCCACCTTTTTTACTACTATCATTTTGTTTTCTTGCCAAAAAAATTAATGCCCTTAGAATAAAAAAAATATAAAAATACAACCATAAAATAATTTAAAAAATCAACCACTCATTTTTGTCAAATTCTCATTTGCTGGTAAGGTTCTGTAGTCATGGAATTTATCTGGAAAAACGCACCTCAACCGGGTATCCTTTGCTCTTCAACTGCTTTAGAGCTTTCCTGTTTTGGAAATATAACTATGGGATTTCAGCAATGGATCAGAAACCACATGTCCGCATCATATGGGTTGGAAAAATCTCTTTCGACACCTCAAAACTACGTTGGCATCATGGCATGATTTTCGAGTTCTTCCTTAAAAGTTTGTTTCTTATAATGTATTTTTTAAGGTTTATGTTCCATTTGTTTTGGTACTTCGTAAGATACAAGGGAAATCTGACTATTTTACTCAAACAAAAATAATCTATGGGAAAATTAGGGGGAATGATCTAGAAAAATAGTATTTATTGAAAAGGATAATAAAAATCATAATTGTTTAGAAGGACCAAATATTAAGATATCAATTTAAAAATACTAAATTAACCCTAACAAAACCTCCTAAATAAATCCTACCTTAATAATTTTAAAAAGAAAACGAAAACAAGAACTAAAACCAACACCATCCATCATTTCCATTTCCATGGGCTCGTACATCATTTTTCAATTCAACTTCTTTCCCACCCATATTGAAATTTAGTTGATTATATTGCAATTTCTATTTACAATTTTTTTTTTCTTACACACAAGTGTTTTCTAAA